GGATATTAACGTTCCTCCCTCTTGCGAAAATCCGTCAAAAAAACGACGCTCGAATTTTGGAATTTTGCAGGCGGCACCGTTGCCCCCACAATCTCTTGCCCCAGGATCACCTGGAGATCCCACGGGGCGAGCCGGTGCACACGGTCACATCTTACCGCCAGGAATTCGACGAGAAACGTTTGGTGGACAGGCAGACGATCCACCACCACGAGGATCACCTTCGAATGGAGGGAGATTTCGTTGGGGAGAGACGAACGGATTACACGGCGACGAGGGGCGAGAGGGCTGTGGTGAAGAAGCCGCAGGACAACCTCAAGCCGGAGGGGGAGTTCGTGGGCAGAGCGAGGGAGGAGGCGCCGAAGCACGGGGACAGGGCGCCTATCAGGCGGCCGGTGGACAATCTCAGGCCGGAAGGGGAATTCGACAGTGAGATCCACTTTCTTTCCTTCCTCTCGTTTTCTTTCCGCCTTTCCTTCGTATAAAACGTGTTGGTTGGTGGCCACGCAGGCACGACTACCACGGAGCTGGTGTTCACCGGTACCCCCGGCGAACGGCCCAGCCCGATACGACGCAACACGTACACCAAGGTGGAGGGCGAGTTCATCGATTCGACCACGACGAGGTCGGAATACGTGGATCATCGAGCGGTGCAGCGTGCAGAGATCGTCAAACGTACGGACAACCTCACTGTGGGAGAGGGTGAATTCACGGTAGGGGAGAGAAAGGTTGGACGGGGTTTGCCCCAGTTACGATTTTATCTGTCGATTTGATCGCTGACTGAAATAATTATGCGATAGGGTACCTCTCGTCTCAAGGAGGATTTCCACACGTACGACGTCGTGGAGAGGGAGCCGCGACGGCGGCTCACCTACACCGAGGAGAAGGAGGAGGAGGAGGGTCGCTTTTACGGGAGGAAGACGGACGTGTTGGAAACGACTACTACGACGCAGGATGAGTATCGAAGTTTCGATCGAACCGATTACAGCAGAAGCACAGCCGTGATCAGACGGGAGGATAATTTGAAGCCGGAAGGACCGTTCGAAGGCGTGCCACACGCTAAACGGGATTACGCGGTGCCGCCGATTACCAAGAGGCCCGAGCCGCAGAAGCCGAGGGATAATTTGAGACCGGAAGGCCGTTCGAGGGAAGGCCTAAGGACGATTACTCGCCGAAACGAGGTGAACGTCCGGAAGTAAAGAGACCCGAGGACAATTTGAGACCGGAAGGACCCTTCGAGGGACGTCCAAAGGATGATTTTTCGCCGAAACTAGGTGAACGTCCGGAAGTAAAGAGACCGGAAGATAATTTGAGACCAGAAGGCCCCTTCGAGGGACGTCCTAAGGACGATTATAAGCCGACCAGAGGGGTTTGTTCTAAGGAATGTAATAATACTACGTCTGAAGATAAATAATCATATTAAAAAGAAAACGTTTAATTACAATGTCTAATAGGAAAATACTTACTCTAAAAATTAATAATCCTGCTTTCTTATCTCACTCGATTGTTTCCACGTAAATGTTTCTTGCACTTATTCAAAAAAATAAAGTGAAAATAAAAAAGCTTCGGTTCACCGCTCGTATTATTCGCTGTTTGGGCCGAAATCTTGATCAGTCGTTCGTTGTAGAGGGAGGATATTAACGTTCCTCCCTCTTGCGAAAATCCGTCAAAAAAACGACGCTCGAATTTTGGAATTTTGCAGGCGGCACCGTTGCCCCCACAATCTCTTGCCCCAGGATCACCTGGAGATCCCACGGGGCGAGCCGGTGCACACGGTCACATCTTACCGCCAGGAATTCGACGAGAAACGTTTGGTGGACAGGCAGACGATCCACCACCACGAGGATCACCTTCGAATGGAGGGAGATTTCGTTGGGGAGAGACGAACGGATTACACGGCGACGAGGGGCGAGAGGGCTGTGGTGAAGAAGCCGCAGGACAACCTCAAGCCGGAGGGGGAGTTCGTGGGCAGAGCGAGGGAGGAGGCGCCGAAGCACGGGGACAGGGCGCCTATCAGGCGGCCGGTGGACAATCTCAGGCCGGAAGGGGAATTCGACAGTGAGATCCACTTTCTTTCCTTCCTCTCGTTTTCTTTCCGCCTTTCCTTCGTATAAAACGTGTTGGTTGGTGGCCACGCAGGCACGACTACCACGGAGCTGGTGTTCACCGGTACCCCCGGCGAACGGCCCAGCCCGATACGACGCAACACGTACACCAAGGTGGAGGGCGAGTTCATCGATTCGACCACGACGAGGTCGGAATACGTGGATCATCGAGCGGTGCAGCGTGCAGAGATCGTCAAACGTACGGACAACCTCACTGTGGGAGAGGGTGAATTCACGGTAGGGGAGAGAAAGGTTGGACGGGGTTTGCCCCAGTTACGATTTTATCTGTCGATTTGATCGCTGACTGAAATAATTATGCGATAGGGTACCTCTCGTCTCAAGGAGGATTTCCACACGTACGACGTCGTGGAGAGGGAGCCGCGACGGCGGCTCACCTACACCGAGGAGAAGGAGGAGGAGGAGGGTCGCTTTTACGGGAGGAAGACGGACGTGTTGGAAACGACTACTACGACGCAGGATGAGTATCGAAGTTTCGATCGAACCGATTACAGCAGAAGCACAGCCGTGATCAGACGGGAGGATAATTTGAAGCCGGAAGGACCGTTCGAAGGCGTGCCACACGCTAAACGGGATTACGCGGTGCCGCCGATTACCAAGAGGCCCGAGCCGCAGAAGCCGAGGGATAATTTGAGACCGGAAGGGCCGTTCGAGGGAAGGCCTAAGGACGATTACTCGCCGAAACGAGGTGAACGTCCGGAAGTAAAGAGACCCGAGGACAATTTGAGACCGGAAGGACCCTTCGAGGGACGTCCAAAGGATGATTTTTCGCCGAAACTAGGTGAACGTCCGGAAGTAAAGAGACCGGAAGATAATTTGAGACCAGAAGGCCCCTTCGAGGGACGTCCTAAGGACGATTACAAGCCGACCAGAGGGGAAAGGGCTGATGTGAAGAGGCCTGAAGATAATTTGAGACCGGAAGGACCGTTTGAAGGAAGGCCTAAGGATGATTATAAACCAACCAAAGGGGAAAGAGCCGATGTGAAGAGGCCTGAAGACAATTTGAGACCGGAAGGACCGTTCGAAGGCCGTCCAAAAGATGATTACTCGCCGAAACGAGGTGAACGTCCGGAAGTAAAGAGACCAGAGGACAATTTGAGACCGGAAGGACCCTTCGAGGGACGTCCAAAGGATGATTTTTCGCCGAAACGAGGTGAACGTCCGGAAGTAAAGAGACCAGAGGACAATTTGAGACCGGAAGGATCCTTCGAGGGACGTCCTAAGGACGATTACAAGCCAACCAAAGGGGAAAGAGCTGATGTGAAAAGGCCTGAAGACAACTTGAGACCGGAAGGACCGTTCGAAGGAAGACCTAAGGACGATTATTCGCCGAAGACAGCCGAACGTCCCGAGGTGAAGAAGCCTCGAGACAATTGAGACCGGAAGGCCCGTTCGAGGGTCGTCCAAAGGACGATTTCACCCCGAAAACCGCACAACGTCCGGAAGCGAAGAGGCCACAGGACAATCTGCGACCCGAGGGAGAATTCCAAGACCGGCCTAGGAGCGAATACACTCCTGGCGAGAAACGTACGCCGATCAGACACCCGGATAACTTGTACCCCGAGGGGGAATTCGAGAGACCGTTGCACACTCCTTACGGTCCTGGTGAAAGGGCGCCGATCGTGCGACATCCGGACAACCTGTTCCCCGAAGGAGAGTTCGCGGATAGGCAGCGTATCCCGTTCACGCCGGCAGAACGCAGAACACCTATTAAACACGATGACAATATTCGTCCCGAGGGACCGTTCGAAGGAAGGCCCAAGGACGACTTCTCGCCGAAAACGGCCGAACGTCCAGAGGTGAAGAAACCTCAGGACAATTTGAGATCCGAGGGGCCGTTCGAAGGCAGACCAAAAGATGATTATAAGCCAACCAAAGGAGAACGCGCTGATGTAAAGCGTCCAGAGGATAACCTAAAACCGGAGGGTCCGTTCGAAGGAAGGCCAAGGATGATTTCTCGCCGAAGACGGCCGAACGTCCCGAAGTGAAGAAGCCTCAAGATAATTTAAGACCTGAAGGACCATTCGAAGGAAGGCCTAAAGACGATTACAAACCTACGAAAGGAGAACGTGCCGATGTAAAACGTCCAGAGGATAACCTAAAACCGGAGGGTCCGTTCGAAGGAAGGCCCAAGGATGATTTCTCGCCGAAGACGGCCGAACGTCCCGAAGTGAAGAAGCCTCAAGATAATTTAAAACCCGAAGGCCTCTTCGAAGGTCGTCCAAAGGACGACTACAAGCCAACTAAAGGAGAACGCGCCGATGTAAAGCGTCCAGAGGATAATCTAAAACCGGAAGGACCTTTCGAAGGTCGTCCAAAGGATGATTTCTCGCCGAAGAGAGCGGAGCGGCCCGAAGTACGAAGGCCGGAGGACAACCTGCGGCCGGAGGGTGATTTCGAGGCTCGTCGCAAGGACGATTATCAACCGGTTCGTGGCGAGCGAATCGAGATGGTGAAACGCACCGACAATCTTCGAATGGAGGGCGACATGGAGACTTATCGTTCGAGAGACGAGTACGCCGACTTCCTGATCCGCGAGAGGACCGAGGTGACCAAGTATCGGGACAACTTGAGGATGGAGGGCGAGTTTATCGACGTTAGGACGAGGGACGATTTCAAAGTGGTGAGAGGGGAACGCGTGGACGTGGTGAGGCATCCCGACAATTTAAGGTCGGAAGGTCCCTTCGAGGCCCGTCCGAAGGACGACTATTCTCCCCCGAAGAAGGTGGAGAGGCCGGAAGCGAGGAAGCCGGAGGATAATCTGAAGCCGGAGGGTGAGTTCGTCGGCAGGCCGAGGGAGGAGGCGCCCAAACACGGCGAACGCGCCCCGATCAAGAAGCCTCGAGACAATTTAAGACCCGAGGGTGAATTCGAGAGGCCCGAGAAGAGACCCGTCGGCCCCGCTGAGAAGAGGACGCCTATCAAACACGCGGATAATTTGAAACCGGAGGGAGAATTCGAAAGACCGAAACCGGAAGAATTTAAACCTGCTGAGAGACCAATCGTGAAGCCAACCAAAGGAGAACGCGCTGATGTAAAGCGTCCAGAGGATAACCTAAAACCGGAGGGTCCGTTCGAAGGAAGGCCCAAGGATGATTTCTCGCCGAAGACGGCCGAACGTCCCGAAGTGAAGAAGCCTCAAGATAATTTAAGACCTGAAGGACCATTCGAAGGAAGGCCTAAAGACGATTACAAACCTACGAAAGGAGAACGTGCCGATGTAAAACGTCCAGAGGATAACCTAAAACCGGAGGGTCCGTTCGAAGGAAGGCCCAAGGATGATTTCTCGCCGAAGACGGCCGAACGTCCCGAAGTGAAGAAGCCTCAAGATAATTTAAAACCCGAAGGCCTCTTCGAAGGTCGTCCAAAGGACGACTACAAGCCAACTAAAGGAGAACGCGCCGATGTAAAGCGTCCAGAGGATAATCTAAAACCGGAAGGACCTTTCGAAGGTCGTCCAAAGGATGATTTCTCGCCGAAGAGAGCGGAGCGGCCCGAAGTACGAAGGCCGGAGGACAACCTGCGGCCGGAGGGTGATTTCGAGGCTCGTCGCAAGGACGATTATCAACCGGTTCGTGGCGAGCGAATCGAGATGGTGAAACGCACCGACAATCTTCGAATGGAGGGCGACATGGAGACTTATCGTTCGAGAGACGAGTACGCCGACTTCCTGATCCGCGAGAGGACCGAGGTGACCAAGTATCGGGACAACTTGAGGATGGAGGGCGAGTTTATCGACGTTAGGACGAGGGACGATTTCAAAGTGGTGAGAGGGGAACGCGTGGACGTGGTGAGGCATCCCGACAATTTAAGGTCGGAAGGTCCCTTCGAGGCCCGTCCGAAGGACGACTATTCTCCCCCGAAGAAGGTGGAGAGGCCGGAAGCGAGGAAGCCGGAGGATAATCTGAAGCCGGAGGGTGAGTTCGTCGGCAGGCCGAGGGAGGAGGCGCCCAAACACGGCGAACGCGCCCCGATCAAGAAGCCTCGAGACAATTTAAGACCCGAGGGTGAATTCGAGAGGCCCGAGAAGAGACCCGTCGGCCCCGCTGAGAAGAGGACGCCTATCAAACACGCGGATAATTTGAAACCGGAGGGAGAATTCGAAAGACCGAAACCGGAAGAATTTAAACCTGCTGAGAGACCAATCGTGAAGAAGCCAACGGACAACCTTTATCCCGAAGGAGAGTTCGAGGTCCCTGAGAAGAAACCCATTGGGCCTGCTGAGAAGAGGACGCCTATCAAACACGCGGATAATTTGAAACCGGAGGGAGAATTCGAAAGACCCAAACCGGAAGAGTTTAAACCTGCTGAGAGACCAATCGTGAAAAAGCCAACGGATAATTTGTATCCCGAAGGAGAGTTCGAGGTTCCTGAGAGGAAACCCATTGGACCTGCTGAGAAGAGGACGCCTATCAAACACGCGGATAACTTGAAACCAGAAGGAGAATTCGAAAGGCCGAAACCGAAAGAATTCAAACCTGCTGAGAGACCAGTCGCGAAGAAACCGACCGACAATCTTTATCCCGAAGGAGAGTTCGAGATCCCTGAGAAGAAACCTGTCGGCCCCGCTGAGAAGAGGACCCCTATCAAACACGCGGATAACTTGAAACCGGAAGGAGAATTCGAGAGACCGAAACCGGAAGAATTCAAACCTGCTGAGAGACCAATCGCGAAGAAACCAACGGACAATCTGAAACCCGAGGGCGAGTTTGCGACTCGACCCAAGGAGGAGGCTCCACGAAAGGGCGAGAGAGCCGACGTGAGGAGGCCGGAGGACAACCTACGCCCCGAGGGCGACTTCGAGGTCCCTGAGAAGAAGCCCGTCGGCCCGGCCGAGCGAAGAACCCCGATCAAACACGAGGACAACCTACGCCCCGAGGGCGAGTTGTCCTTCGAGAGGCCCCGGCCCAGGAGGATCGGGCCCGCGGAGAAAAGGACCCCTATCAGGCATCCGGACAACTTGAAACCGGAGGGCGAGTTCGTCGCGCGGCCGAGGGAGGAGGCTCCGAAGCGGGGCGAGCGGGCGGACGCGAAGAGGCCGAGGGACAACCTGCGCCCGGAGGCGAGTTCGAGAGGAAGGCACCCGCTGCGAAACCCGCTCTGGGCGAGAAACGCGTCCCCATCAAGCGTCCCGACAACCTGCGCCCTGAGGGCGAGTTCGAGGCCCGGCCCAAGGACGACTTCGTGCGGACGCGCGGCGAGAGGAGGGACGCGGTGCGACGCGAGGACAATTTACGAATGGAGGGGACGATCGAGACGTACAGGTCGCGCGACGAGTACGCCGACTTCGTGGTCCGCGAGAGGACCGAGGTGACCAAGTATCGGGACAACTTGAGGATGGAGGGCGAGTTTATCGACGTTAGGACGAGGGACGATTTCAAGGTGGTTTCGAAGGGGGAACGCGCGGACGTGGTGAGGCATCCCGACAATCTGAAGCCTGAGGGCGAGTTCGAGAAGAGGCAGGTGGTCCACGTGGGACCGGCCGAGAGGCGGTCCCCCATCAAGCACGAGGACAACTTGAAACTGCCGGAGGGCGAGTTCGTCGCCCGTCCCAGCAGGGAGCAGCAAGCGAGGAAGGTGGAGAGGAGGACGCCGATCAAGCATCCCGACAACCTTCGCCCCGAGGGCGAGTTCGAGAGGCCGCGCAAGTCGCCCCCTCTCGGCCCCGCCGAGAGGAGGACGCCCATACGCCACGAGGACAACCTTCGCCCCGGGGAGGGCGAGTTCGACGACTCGACGAAACGTTCAATTGTGACTGATGGAAGGACTTGCTCGGCTCGGAGGAAGGCCGAGTCGGCGAGGACGACCATCGACGACGTGGAAACGATCGTGACCAAGGGGGAGAGGACGGTCGTTCGAGGGGAGGTGCGCCGATCGCGGGACGAGAGGGTCGTGAGGCTCGTGGAGGATGATCTGAGGGCCCAGGTGAGGAGGCCTATGCACCCGGAGGGCGAGGGCAACAGGCAGGAGGCGAAGGGGGCCGAGATGGAGGCCCCCTCCTCCTCGAGGGAGGATCGGCACGAGGATCAGCTGAGGATGGAGGGGGGGGAGATGGAGGTTCGCCGTTCGAGGGACGACTACAAGAGGGAGGAGAGGGTGGAGAGGGTGGAGAGGAAGCACGAGGACGATGCGAGGGTGGAGGGCGAGCTGGTCGACTCGCGTCGCAGGAGCGCTGAGAGGAGGTCGCCCATCAAGCGTGCCGACAATCTGAAGCCGGAGGCGAGTTCGCGGGGGCCAGGGCTCGCGACGACTTTGCCTCGCCGAAGGGGAGGGGGGAAAGGGCGGAGGTGGTGCGGCGGGAGGACAGTCTGAGGATCGTCGGCGGCGAGTTCCGGGACTCGACCTCGCAGAGGTCCACGTACACGGTGATCCGGGGAGGGGAGCGGGCCGAGGCGAGGCGGCACGAGGACAACTTGAGGGTGGGCACCGGCCACGCCATGGAAACGAGGACCACGACGAGGGACGCGTTCGCCCACTCGATCTCGTCCTCCAAGAAGGAGGATACCAGGGCGAGCGTTGCCGCCGGCCGGAGACACCGCGCGGAGTCCTCGATCGCGTTGGGGGGGGAGGATCTCGCGACCACCACCACCGCTCAGAGGAATTACAACACGTTCACGAAACGAACCGGCAAGGAAGTGGCCGCCAAGATGAGCGGCATGGAGTCGAGGGACGTGGAGAGCAACGCGGCGAGGAGGACCTCGTCGAACGTGCAAACGTGCCAACGAAGCGAGGAGGCGAGCTCGAGATCCTCGAATCAACACGAGAAGGTGTGCGAGGGGCAAACGCGACACGAGAGGCATCATCAGGAGCAAACGATGAGCAAACGGGACTACGTGAACGCCCAGCACGCCGAGTCTCGACAGAAGAGCCAACAAGTAGCTCGAAGCTACAACTCGAGCCAGACGAGCAGCGCCGAGTTCAGGCAAGCGATCGTGCACGGGTCCGTGGAAAGATCGGACGCAACCACCACCACCACCACCACCACCACGAAGACCAGCCACCACAGGAAGAACGTGATCTCGTCCTCTTCCGCCGACGTGGCCAACTCGGTGCTCCACAGGCGCGGGGGGACCGCCTCGTCCACCGAGGCGCTTCACACCATATCTTCGACGGCCGCCGATCAGAAGAAGAGCATCTCGAACTTGGCGGAGAGCGGGCAATACATAAGCAACTCGAGCCAGAGCAGCGACCGGCGCAGCCTCACCTCGCTGCACCGCAGCGCCAAGGAGGGCAACCCGTGGGCGTCGTCCACGTACGAGCGGCCGCAGAGGATCGTCCGGCAGGACAATTTGACGGTCGGCGGCAAGTTTTATTCCCAGAGCGAGGCGAGGAGCTACGGGAATTTCGGGAGCCAGAGGGTGGAGCGGGTGCACAGGCAGGCGAACGTGTCGCACATCAGCCTGGGGGACGGGACCACGGTCACGTCGAGCATGTACAAGAAGGAGTACGCGCCCAGGCACAGGGGCCCGTGCCCAGCGGCTCTCATCGAGGCGAAACAGGCACCGTTCAAGCACACCAGAGACACGCCCAAGCACAAGTTCTACATGCCTGTCGTCTCCAATTGATCCAAAATTTCCCACCGACTTCCCTTCCATCCATTTTTTCACAATTTTACGAGATAATAATAACAACGATAAGAACCATGATTCTTACTCCTCTCCCCCCTTTCTCCACAGATGTCATTCGCGCGGAATCTCGATATCGCGAATCTCGAGCATTAGAATCTAAGGTATCTAACAAAATTGGGGGGCTGTGACGGAACGCGTCGCTCGATTTGATTCAAAATTTCTTAAAACGACGAGTCTCGATCTCGGCGCGATCCTCGAGATACCGAGCGGATTGCACGCGTAGGAGTGAACTTGTATACATACATACATACATACGTACATATATATATATATACAATCGTACACGCATATATTTCGTACGATGCCGATATATTTTTATCCTCGAGAAGGAACAACGAGAACGAGATGCCGTCTCCTCGATATATATATATATTTATATAAATGGGTTATCCGATCGGGAAGCGGATGAAAATCGAGTTTTTTAAAAGAAGATTTATTTTCACCTTTAATCAACGTGTATTACAAAGCAATAACTAGAGCTTAAATCCGTGATAAGGACGAATCTGATCGAGAAGTTAGATTCGACCGATAATTAGAAATAGATGCGGCCGTTCGTGCCGCGCGTAGCGCCCCCTTTTTCGTCGGCTTACGTTACGTTACGTTCCATCTTTCCTTCTCGCCTTTTTTCTTCTTTTTTTCTAACATTGTTGTTGCGATTATCGTTGCTGATATTAACCCTGTTCGTTTCGAATACGTACACATATTTTTCACGGTCAAGGAAGAGGGATTTCGAGGGATGCTGCGTTTCCATCCCGTTCGACGCGACGAGATGCTCCATTCACCAAGAATTTATCTTGTACTTTTGTTTTTCTCTCTCTCCCTCCCTCCTTCCCTCCCTCTCCCTTCTCCATACTTTTACTTTGTTCCGAGAGTTACATGTGCGATCATAATAAAAAATATGTTTTGCAATTAATTCTTGGTTTTTGCGTTTTTCTCTTCTCCTCGAAGAATCGTGCTTCTTTTTCTTTCTTTCTTTCTTTCTTCTCCCCTTCTCCATCCTCTCGTACGTGTCTTTTGGTTATTTTAGATAGATAAGAAATATTTTAGATTCGATGGATATGTTGCGCTCGAGATTTTTTTTTTATCACCAGACCAAGAGCTGTTCGCGAGAAACGTGAACAAAGCGAGCTCCGTGGACTCGACCGATCTTTTCTATTTCTATTTCTTTCCTATTTCTTTTATTCATTGCTTGAGTTGGATCTGGATACTTTTTTTTTTTGCTATTAATTACCTTAAAACGACTCGAGTATGTATACTAGATTTACATATCGTCGAGTGAGAGGTGACACTGAGAATACGCATCGAATTCGACTTCACGTACCGTGAATTTACGAATCGGAAGGCAATGCTCGTAGAAGAAGAAAAAAAAAAAAAAGAAAAAAGAAATTACGTCGTATTATCGTCAAATTCAACCTTTTGATCGTATCGATTCGAAAAAGAAAGAGAGGAAGAAGAGGAAGGAAAAAAAAAAAAAAAGAAAAGAAAAGAAAAAGAAAGGGGAAAAAAGGGGGAACATTGGCGAAATTGTATCGTTGCCGATATAACGACATTTATGTACATTTATGCGACGTGTCTAACAACTCGTGTACAATAAAGAGATTATTTTGCGTATTTCGCGTTACAAACTTATTTCTCGAATATCCAACGTCCACGATCCGGTCGGAGCCGAGAGGTCGTTTCCGATTATTAGAAACGAATTTGATCGCTGCCATGGCTACGTGTCGTACGCGTCGAACAAAAGCAACATCTCGATCGTGCTACTCGATCGGGACGATTGCTCCATATTCAAGCAGCACCAACGTCGTCCGATTAAAGTATATATCTCATGATCAATCGTCAAAATATGAAAGTAGCTCGCACGCCCGCCCATTCATAGAAAAAAATTGCGCTACGATGCCCGTTTCTTTGCGACACCATGATCGTACGACTCCATCTCAATTGTGCACACATCCTTGTTCTGTCCATACTTCTCCGATCCTTCGTTTCTCATTGCTTTCCAGAGATTGTCAAAGACGCGGCCAGGTATTTACAAAAAAAAATAAAAAAATATTTAATAACTGTCCTATCCTTCCCTCCCTCCCTCCCTCCTTCCTTTCCTTTCCGAACCGACGCGTTTGAGAATAAATTTCTTCGCTCGAAAAACGCGACCAGACGACTCGCGCGCGACAGAGAGAGAGAGAAAGAGAAAGAGAGAGAATTTCAAATCCTCTAACGAATCGTCCATCCGACAATTCTTCCTTCCTTTCTTCCCACCGATTCTTTCCTTAGAAAATTGTATATGTAATAAATATATACAAATTTCCTTCGTCTTTCCCCTCCTTCTTCTTTTTCTTAACTAATAACTAGTCCATCTGTCCTTCCTTCCTTCCTTCCTTCCTTCTTTCCTTAAAAAACTATGTATATATATTTCTTTTCCCCCTTCTTTCCTGCCCCTCAACCAGTATCGAATTTCATATTCTCTAACGAATCGTCCATCCGACAATTCTTCCTTCCTTCCTTCTTTCCTTAAAAACCTACGTATATATATTTCCTTTGCTTTTCCCCATCCTCTTCCAACCAGTATCGAATTTCATATTCTCTAACGAATCGTCCATCCGACGATTCTTCCTTTCTTTCCATCGATTTCTTCCTTAAAAAAAAACTAATATGTATATGTATATATATATATATATATATATTTATATTTCCTTCGTCTTCCCCCCTCCGTTCCCCTTGTGCTCGACGTAGTAACGCGGAGGCCGGCGGCTACGCGATCGAGGACCAAGCGAGCAAGGTGGACCCGTCGATAGAGCGAATCTTTCGTGGATCAGGCGTGGAGCGTAGAAACTACGCGACCAACTCGAAACGGAACGTCGAGGCGGTCGCGGACAAGACGACGATCCGTACCGAGGACACGAGGAAACGTCCCCGGATAAAGCGGGGTGACGAGGTGGCGAAGAGGGGGGCGAACGAGGGGGCGGCGAAGAGCGAGGAGAAACGATCGTTGCCCGTGAAAAGCGGCAAAAGCGGTAGCTCGAGAATCGGTCGCTCTTCCAGAGATCTGCCCAGCAAGCTACCGGTCAAAGATTACGAGGTACCTCTTGACCAGGAGAAATCGTCCTCCGTTTACGCGGACGAAACGGAGGAGGACCTCGCCGTGAACACGAAGGACAGGGAGCCGAGGTACAACAGCAGGGTGGGCGAGTACACGGCCGAGGATTCGGCCCGTTTCATCGACCAGGAGGAGAGATCCAGCTTGTACGATGATTTCGAGGCGAAGGACGTGGTGAAGAGGGGTATAACGGGGGCCGAGGATTACGAGGAGATGGAGGAGGAGGGGGCCGTGGAGGGGGGGGACGAGGGGGCAGCCTTCGACGAGAGCTCGATCGAGGAGGAGGTCGGGAACGAGAAGAGAAAGTTTCGGGGGGGGACGTGAGGGTGAAGAGGGAGCACGAGCACGGTAACGGCAACACCAACAACAATAACAACAACAACAACAACAACAACAACAACAACAAGGAGGCGCTCGAGGGCGGGGACGCAAGCGGGCCGAGGATGAACGGGGAGGAGGATCGTGGCGAGTCGTCGTCGGCGGCCGAACAAAAGGCGATGGAGCGCTCCTTGAAGCGTGACGCGTCGGAGAAGGGGGAGGCGGGCAAGGGGGAGAGCAATCAGTCGAGCTCGAAGGAGGGGAAGGAGTCGGCGGGACAACAGTCGAAGAGGAACGTGCTCGACACGAAGAACGAGAACGAGGGATCGTCCAAATCGTCGTCGTCGTCGTCGTCGTCGTCGTCGTCGGGTTGCGATCGGGATACGGAGAACGCGAAGAACGAGAAACCGATCCTCTCCCCGATGAACCCCGATCAGAAGGTGGAGATGGTGGAGGGGCAAGACGAGGGCGCCAAGCTTCTGCAGAATTCTCAGGAGAGTCAAGAGGTGATGATGGGTGGTGGTGGGGAGGCGGCCGGGAAGCCGCAGGAGATCAACTTGTCGGGGAACGAGAACAAGCCGATCGGCAATTTGATCGGCGGCGACTCGTTGGGCGTGAAGGGGATGGACGCGTCCAAGGCGGAGGAGTCGAAGATCGTCGACATGGGGGGCGGCCAGGGGGGGCAGGAGGCGTTGAAGGGGAACGTGGAGATACCGGTGAACGTGCCGGAGACGGCTGCCGTTGAGAACGCGAACGAAAAGTCGGAATCGTCGCAGAAGGGGAGCGAGGGGGGTGGCGCGCCGGGCGAGCAGGTGGACGAGGATTATCAGAAGCACGTGGAGGAACAGATCCAGAGGAAGATAGACTCGATCAAGGAGGAGATAAAGAGGGAGATTACGGAGAACCAGCGTATCAGGGAGATAGAGGAGAACAACGCCAAGTTCGAGGAGTTGAGGGACGAGGAGGAGGAGGAGGAGGACGAGGAGGAGGAGAACGAGCAGGAGAACGAGCAACCGGCGATGATCGAGAAACGGGACACCGTGTCGAAGAGATCGCCGGAGAGTGGGGCGGACAAGGGATCGCAGATACGGGAGGAGAAACGATTCGTGGTTTCGAGGCGGAGGAAAAGGCAGGGCGAGAACGGAGGCAGCAGCAATAACAACGGGAACAACAACAACAACAACAACGGCCAGGAGAAGCAGGACGAGTCGAATTCGAGCAAGAAGACTCGGCAAGCGGCGACGATGGCGGCGAAGAAACGATCGGCGGCGAAACTGGAAGCGCAAGATCCGGAAAAGATAGCGAGGAAACGCGAGCGGCCGCGCGAGGTGATATTGGTCGAAAGACCGGATCGGAAAAAAAAGAGGAGACGAAGGGCTAAGAACACGGAACAACGCGGCGCAAAGCTGGAGGGTAATCAACCAGGTGACTTTGTGCAGGACTCGAGCTTGCGCGGGAACCTCGGTGATGGAAAGGTGAAAGGGGGAATTAATCTGGTATTGCGGATGCTATTATTGCTACTACGCGAGTGTCATTAAACGAATGGTTCCGAATTGGCAGTCGAGCGTGGATTCGAAGATGACGGAAGATGAGAAAGCGGTCGCGGAACGGAATTCCCTGTCTGAAAAGAAATCCGGTTCCGTGGCGTCGTTCGCAGGGAGTAACGAAGAGATGGGCCCATTGGCGACCGAATACGGAGATGCGTTCGGCGGTTTCAACAATGATCCTGGGGTGGCGCTAGCTAGATTTAAACGAATCAAACGAGTTCTTCGCCCTCCGGTTTCCAATCCCTAGTTCCCCAACACTCGTACACCAAATTTCGCGCTCAATCGCGTTTCACAATTCTACGATCGGTCCGTGTCGTGACACCGTAATTTATATACATATATATATACACACACACATGTATATATATACTTCTATATACATATATATGTGTATATATATATATATATATATTATAGAAGATCAGAAATATATTAGTAAGCACACGTAGATTAATTAGCCGTAGATCCGTTCAAAACACGTAGAGTAGGAATGCGAATATCCTACGATTAACGGTTCCCTTCGAAGATTCGAAAAAAACAAGCGTTAATCGTTGGTATCGCGATCGGTTACAATAACATCGGTTTCGTCGGTAACGTGGCCAATGTTTATACGCAAAAAGTCGTACGTCCTTGAAACGGAAGTGTACGCCGCGCGGCGCCTCTTTCGCGAGTATACTCTCGAATCTCTTTTTCACTTATTATTCGCGTCTTTTATTGTCTTTAATCTATCCCGATCACGTATTTAAAGCGGTTTCGACGCTATTTCGACTTTCGTTTTGCAACTTATGTTACACAATAAAAGAAAAAAAAGTACTTTAAGACAAACGACAGATACGATACGATGAGAGATGTATTAATAAAATCTGAATTTATATACGAAAATTATTATCTAAAAAGAAGAAAAACAACGAAAAGTGATGTTTCTGGATATACCTGCTGGATGGATCCATGGGCTCGTCGTTGATGACGTGTCGAATGGCGTCTCTAAAGGAAGAGAAAGAGAGAGTGAGAGAGAAAGACGGGTAGACTCAGAGGCAAATACACAGACATAAAAACATTCGTAAGACGTTCAAGATTTAATAACAAAGATACGATTAAACACGAAGAAGACACATAGATCGTTAACCCTCTGTTTTGTGCGCTTACATTACGGGGGAGACTTTGACCATTTTTTTTTTCTTTTTTTCTTCTTTTTTTTTCTTTTTTTTTTTGAATTTACTCTCGGCAAACTCGAATACCGACGTCTCCTCGCTTGTTATCATCCATCTCTCCTTATCACCGTTCTACTTTACAACAATATGAAACAATTATTTACACATCGACGGGCAGAAGGATCACGGTGTTGCGTGAGAAATGACTGAATGTGTTCCTCTCTCGTATATATATTTTTTTCCTTTTCTTCCTTTTTTCCCCTCTTTCTTTTTTCGTTTCGTCGTTCACGTTACGCGCACCGCCATTTTACGCCAGGATACGCGCAGATGCTTATTACTCGAGTCGAGAGCGTAGCTGGAATCGATCGAGATCGAACTTTCGCCACAAAATTCGTCACTCGCGAGAATTCGATCTCGATATTTCGCGCCAACGATTTCTCCAACCATTTTCGTCTCGATCCAAAACACATTGGACATTGAGATCGAAATTGTTCTTCGAACAATTCTTTCACGGTTATTCAAACACGATTACTGGAGAATCGTTCGCGCGAACTCGCAGCACGCATCGCCCGATTCGTCGCGTGTTCCACGTGTTGCAGACTGACTTCGTAGATTGGTCGTGCGAGATCGTTAGGGATAGGTTCGAGAGACGAACGTCAGTCCGGCAAGAAGGCTCGTTGGTGAAACGTTACAGGCACCGATCGTTACGTTGAATCGCCGCGCCTCCGTCCTTTCTCGATAATCTGCTTTCGTTGCAGAGAACGTGTTGTTGCCTCGAGCCAGGAATTGACATAGGTATGTACATCTTTTTTTTTTTTTTTCTTTTCCAAACGAAGGCTCTGGAAGGTCGATGTGATCGATTCGTAATAATAATAATTTTTTTTTTCTTTTCGCGAAACGGAAAGAGTCGAGTAAGGACGAAACGAGCGCGATGGTGGAAAATTCGAAGCAGTTGAAAGCACGGTGTATGTAACCGCGAGTGTGTAACGAAGGCGACGCAGGTCAAGATCGAGAGATTAATCGTTAAAAAATGAAGAGAAACCGGATCGTTTCTTTTTTTTTTTTTTTTTCCCCTTTTGTTTCGCTTTGTTTCCGACGGATACTCTGCTTTAGTGCATGTCGATAGAGACTTTCTTTTTATTTAAAAAAATCGATGTCTGAGAAATGGTGTTCACAATAATATGGTACAACAACGTAACGGTATTACAGGCTTAAATATGTATACACGCATATAGATGTATATATATATGTATGTATATATATATATATATGTATATGCGTAATATTTATAATAATAATAATAATAGGTAATTTTCTTTACCACAATAACATGGCTATATACAAATATTACAATGTTTCTTCCCCCCTTCCTTCCGTTTCCTTCTCCTTCGAATCTTGGCGCGCTCTCGATGCAACGGTCGATCCATAGGTCGAGACGTTTCCCTACCTCTCTCATTTTTCCCCACTTGATCCAACAATATTTCGACAAATATGCGTAAATATTCCGATTTGAAATTGGCGCGGAGATCGTCCAATCCATCCTTCCTCTTTTAGCATGGAAAAAGCGTGCGTTGTATGCATACGTATGTGTATGAGAGAGAGAGAGAGAGTGTGTGTGTTCATGCATGCGTGTCGAAACTGGATAAGACGAGGTGAAAGAAAGGATACTTTGAAATTTTACGCGTAGAACGGGAATGGCCGCCGAGCGATAATTTCTTCGAATCTTCTCGAAATCGAAATTCCGCAAATTACAAAAATTCTCGACATCGAGGAGAATCTTTCGTTTCATTTTATTTCGAGAATTTTTTTTTTTTTAACATCGATCAATGTATTCCACATTCACATTTCAACTCGATTTTACAACACGCTTTACAGCGACTTGCTCGTGAAAAGTTGAACGTTCGATCAAGAGACGGCGTTGACGAAATTGACGAGTTCGAAAATCGAATTCAATTCGATCTTACTTAATCTTATAATGTATAACGACGAATATATATGTACGCGCTTTGGCACCGTCTCGCCCCTGCCAGAGGCGAGACTTTCTCGTGGCAATGGGCGAATCGGAGGGAACAAGGTTTTCCTTTTTTTTTTTTTCTTCACGTATCGCAAACGAGCGAGTGATCCTCCCCGATCCACTTCTCCTCGCAGACGTTGTTGGCAACATCGGCCCGCTCTTCCTTAGAGCGAGATTTCGAGCCCAAAATTCTGATAATTCTCTCGCAAAGAAAAAACCTTAATTCGTCGAAGAACGACAGAGTTGAGATTGCTCGATCTTTAAATATCGATTTGATCGATACACAGGGCTGAGAAAGTGTTATTAAATTAACGGCGAGAGACAAATTTTGCGAAATTCAATTTCGATGGCATTTAAAAAGTTTCGACGAATCTGCTCGTGCTTTCGATCGATTTCGAGAGTTCTCGACGATTCCCGATGAAACGAAAAAAGTTCGTAATTTCAATATTTCGTTCATCGAGCGAAGAAATTTTTAATGATAAAATGCGAAAAGTGAGAAAAGTGTCAAGTCGAGTCGAATAATTCTGTCAGCACCTTCGAACAGCGGCCTCAAGTTTTTTTTTTCGCATGGACACGCGATTTTTTACTCGATCGGCTCTTCCTACTACGTACGTATACACTCTATATACAGATATAAGCGTCGTTTCCTTTTTTTCTTTTCCCTCTTACGGTTATTACATTTTATTTTATACATTTTAAGTCGAATTTAAGTCTAACGCGACGGCAGATTAATTTTCACGCGTACAAAGCGTATGTTTGCGCGTTACTTTCAAAAAACAATTGACGAAGAGTAGACACGCGGTTTCTTCATTTCATTTCTCCTCAACGAATTGAACACGCTACGTTCGAATTTGCAACGATTCCCATTAGATAGAAATCTAAGAAGGATTCGATGTGGGGGGGTGGGGGGAAAGGAGATTCGAAATGTATGGCGAATAGGTGGAAACGAAAAGTGAAAGGAATTTTTTGTTTTCAAATGCTGCCGAAAGATGTCTCCCTCCTCTCTCGTGTCTGTTAAACATTACGCGTTTCGCACGCTTCGTAGAGCTTCTTCTCCCCGTTATACGCTCCCCCCCCGAATCAAAGGGGGGGGGCGAGGGGAGGGGGAGCAGCATAACCAACCCACGTGTATATTCCATAATGATTTCTTATTATTTATTTATTTATTTATTTATTTATTCATTTTTTTTTCGCTTTTTCCTTTTTCTCATCACTTTTTTTTTTTTTCCCCGCTAAACGTTAATTTTTCACCTAAACAGTAGTCCTCTTTCCTTTTGCCTTACTATATAGGATCGTATATGACAAAAGCATCGTAGTATAAATCAGTAGATCATTTTGTTTTGTGCTTCTTAGAGATCATACATGATACAATGTACAAAGTAGTATAAAATAAAAAAAGGGTTAATAAAGATTTGTATTACTTAATTCTCGAATAACGGTTTTTATCACGAAACACGGGACATCGGCGTCGCTCGCTCCATTCCAACGCGAACACGCGTCTCCTTGGCCGTTGATATCTTAAACAATCGATCATCGCGCCTCATCTCTAATACACACCATTTCGTTGATTGATCCCCGAGATTGTACAACTTATACCATTCTCTCCCCGGAAAATTCCGCAATAATTGTTATTATTATCATTTCCATCCATCCTTTCGAATCTAACTAATTCGTTCTTCTCCTCGACGACGACGACGACGACGACGATGGTTGCGTAGAAAAACACGACTTCCCGCGTTGGAAGCGCGTCGACGACGAAGCGCAAGACTTCAATTGTCCCCCATTTGTCGAAGTGTCCCAAGGATAAATCGCGACACCAGGACAGGATAAGAATTCGTATTCTCCTACGGTAGTATAATAGTCAGCGCATAATCTGAAAATGAGTGAACTTGTTGTCTCTCTCTCTCTCTCTCTCTCTCTCTCTCTTTCTCGCTCGCCTTAAAGTCGATCCCGCCTGAAATGGGCCTCGGCGCTGGGATCTGATATGACCATGGTCGGGTCGGTGAGCATTTGTAGACCGTCCATGTCGATGGGGTCGAGGCCTTGCCTCAGCGCGTCGTCCGAGGGGAAGATGTCCGGGTCGAAGTCGGCCATCATCGCCGAGCCAAGATCCTTCACGAATTCAGGATTCGTCAGATCGTCCGCCCCGGAGAAATCTGTCAAACGAGACGAGACGAGGGAATTATACGCATATTTTTTTTTCTTTCTTTCGGTTTCTCTCCTCAGTCCTCCTTTTTTTTTTTTCCACGTACCGGTGAGGATGATCGTTGGGGTGTTGGGCGTCTGCGGGGTGAGCTGTTGGGTGGTGGTCGTGTTGTTGCTCGTCGCGCTCGTGGTCGTAGGCTGATACGGCACCTGGGGGCTCGTGCTGAAGTAACCCGCGTCCCCGCTCCCTAATTCACCGCCGACGTTCATCGTGTCGTTCTGCAAACGCGATTCCATCGAATTCTTACGAGTTTCATTTTTTACCTAACTCCTTTAATTGCGTTTAAAAGTAGCGAAACATAAATAAGAATTCAAATTCTTTATTTGAAGAATTTTAAATTACTTTTAAATTCTTTCGCTATTACGGACCGCTGTAGTCTGCATATAAAATACACATTGACGTGCTACAGGCAACTATAATCGCTTTATATAAAATGCTGATGACGTGCTATGAGCCACTGAGCCACTACATTGTCACTGATGTACTATGGACGATTATAGTCGCCCTGCAAAAGATGTCACTGACATGTTGTGGACGACTATAATCGCTCTATATAAAATTGCCACTGACGTGCTACGAGTCACTATAGTCACACTATTATAAGATGTCATTGACGTGTTATGGGTGACTATATTATAGTCGCATTGTAA